ACAAAGTTTGAACGAATTCTGACCGTTTAAAGTCAGTCAAAATCACGCCCAAAGGAGTTAGTTACAAACAAACATACAAAAATACAAGTGAAGCTAATATAAAGCGTGTAAAAAAAAACGTGAAAAAGTCTTACTTGTAATTAAAGATTGAGCACAAATCGGTCGCCTACCGTTGATTACTCATAAAAGTTTAATCAATATTTAACACTGTCGGCAGTTAAAAAGCTATGTAACTCTAATAATCCTACCTTCATTAAATTTAACCAACATTGAAATTTAGTAGAAGAACATACATAGAAGTTATTTGAAACAAATAAATACTTATTAAAATAACAAGCATTATCATAAACAAACAAATGAACTTAATTAAATGATATTCGATTGAAATACATACATATTTTATAAAATTTTACTCCAACAAAAAAAATAATGTTTTATAATACGCACATTAAACATCATAAATAGTAGGTTTTGATTCCTTATTAAAAGTCAAATTAGCTAAAAAAATATGTCGGAACCGTTTTAAGATAGCAAAGATAACTAATTGTTTTTTTTTAACATGGGAAGAATAATATTTGAGCTACCAAAATTATTTTTAAATACGTATAAAGTAACTCACCTAAATTAAACAGTAAGTACACAATAATAGACAACAAAGCCGTTCGGTACATTGTACATAGACTATAGTATTCGGTTCTATGGTGGAATAGCAAATGTACAATATTACCTACTTCATTTAATTTTATGTGATATTAAAACTTTATTACGTAACTAATTTTGCTGTAATACCAACATAACCCGTAAAGTGAACATGTTTTACTATAAATTGTTTTGCGGTTTTAATGGGAATAATATATTTCATCAAGAAAAGTTAGAAAATACATTTGCAATTTACAAACTAGAGGTTTTGTGTAAAATCAATTTTACTTTAAATGGTAGTTATGAGGTAGGTATGACTCGCTAACGAACAACAATAATAATTAATAATAATAATATCCACACAATCTGACTCACCCCGTCTGGTCCCAAACTAGGCAGAGCCTGTACTATGATAACCACACTGCTGATAAACATCTAAATGCATAGATATCATAGATAAATTACACCCAGACATAGAACAAATGATCCTCATCACACAAATATTTATCCTGGGTAGGAATCGAACCCACGACGTCTGGCTTAGCAGTCAAGATCACTAACCACTCGGCCAATAGGCAATAAGGAAATAGACTTCGTGTGAACAATTGCCCTAAATTATATAAATTCATTACGTATTACGTGTATATATGATGGCTGCTGCAAAAGGGGCGTCTGACTGTAAATCCACTACTGACAACATATTCAACTAATGGTTGAATTTAATCCGCTAGCTTAATGAATTTAATTGTGCATTTTAAATTATGAATATCCTGAACTACAGTAGGTACTATATCAAAATAGATATCTAAGCTTCAACCTCACATCATCATGCAAATGTAGAGATAAAGATAGAGCACATTTTGACAAATATTCCAGCCTACCAAAGACATGTTTTTCCTTAAGTATATATAAATAGACTTGATTGTTAATTACAGACCAATAGTAATGGTTTAAATCAAAATTATACATCAGTGCTCATCATAGTTAAATATGGTGGTGACTCACACTTGCAACAAAAACATAATATAATGCCATCTAACGGAGACGCATCGAACTACACAGTAGTAGTACATTACAGTACATAGTAGTAGAAATAAATGGGATATCCAAACACTCGTATTAATTGCTCAAATGTTGTCTAAAGTTTCATACGTAAATATAAGTAGAAATTGTAAATTCTAGCATATTCGAGTAACAAAACAATTCCAGTAGAGAACATTACAAAAAAAAACGGCAAGAGGGTTCTATGGACCCTCGGTCGGAACGAAGTTCCTTTCGTTTTTATGTAGACGTTTGCTATAGTGTCGGAAAAACGTCTTGTTACACTTTTTTTGGTCTCTTATATACTATAACATATTTTCATTCAATTTTTTTTTGAGAATACTTTAGTTAAATTAGTTAGAAAAGTCGCACATTTTTTAATAATATAAATAATTCAGTTTATTTCTCGCTTATTTTTTTAGTGTTTTTAGGTAGGGAGTTTTTGTTAGATGTTTTTTTAATCTGTTCAGTTTTTTTAAATAAATTATTTATTTTTCATTTTTAGTGTAAATAACCATAGGTACGTTGTAGGTTCAACCACTTTATATAAGTCGCAAGAGAGCAACCTACGGAAGACGACCATCTTCAAATATTATTCCTGCTGATGCGAATAACTGTGGTGGTTTGATGCACGTATTGAAACTGGGCATAGGCTCCAGAGTTATGTTGAGACGCAACATTTCTGTTACTAAAGGGCCTAGTCCATCTTCTCCAAATTTAAATGGCCTGCCCTTCGCCGCGATCAAATAGAATCAGTAAGTAAGTAACCCGATTCAGTTTTTATAAAATACTTGCTATACCCTGCCACGCTTCGCTGTGGCACATTGGAGTAGCAAAAAATTGAAAAAAAAAAAAACATTTTTGAAGCTTGTTGTATACCTTGTCAAAGTTTGAACTCAATCGGTGCACAACTTTTTAAGTTTTTAAATCGTACACAATAAAACATTTTTATGTACTTATATAAATTATATATATTCACTACCTCCATCGCAAGCATTATTTGTTCGCAGAAGGAGTTAGCGGAGTTCTAGGCGCGCTCGCTCCGTCCGTACCATTTCAGCAATCTGATTATTGAGAATCTCAGAATAAAATCCGATCTAAACAAAAGCCTAAAAAATAACAAGACATTCAAAAAGATCGATTCTGATGACTATACGCCTAGGACAAGTAGTTGTAAAGAAAGAAAACAAAGTAACTTTTTAACGCCTACAAAAAATACGACTGCAATACACTCAAATACAGGATCCCAGAATATGAAATGCATTTCACAAAATCAACTTGGAAATCCTCACTCTGATGATAAACAGGATACGAAAAAATAAATAAAATTGTACAAATTACACCTGGTACGAGACTCGTATACAGAATCAAACAACAGTAGGTTTACCCACAATTTTTTTGTTGAAAAATAAAATGCCCGATAAATGCATAGAAACAAAGAAAAAAATTATTTTAAATGACCAAGGACGCTATTTTGCAACATACACTTCAACTTTTAATTGGTGAATGGTTTCATGTCACCTCGTTCTGGAAACCAGGAGCTACATTACAAGATATTTTAATGTCAGAGGGTACACAATTGAATCTTTTGACAAAAAAAAACGTTATCGTAGTTGGTGGTATAAACGACCGATCCCCGATCATTTTTGGTATATTTGTAAGTCTTTTCTTGTGCTCTTACCGAAATACGAATGTTATGTTTTGCAAAATTCCCTATAACAGATATCTGAACGAAAAAAAAAACTATGAAGTTAAGCTTGTATGTTCAAAATTGAAACATGCAAAGTACATCAACATGGGTTCTTCTACAAGGGTACCATATCGCAGATTTTTTCCTAACCATATATGTCAAATATTATTAAGAGAAACAATAGGTAAAGATTATCATCTTGGAGCTACTGATTTCTATGTGTCATTGGCAAACAGATTTATAATAGAAAAAGCTACCCAAAAAAATATTTTGAAAAAAGGCAAGTGAATCTTTATCATACAGTAGTAACATTACTATAAATGGGCCAGATAACACTCACAAGGAAAATGATCATATTTTTTTTGTATAACTCAGTCAATATCATTCATCAGATTTCCTCTCAGCAATAATCGCAATGACATTGATAGTTTTTTTTTGTAAATTAATGATTTATTACACAATTTTTGCTATAAAAATAAAAAGATCACTGTATGTGGTGACTTGAATATTAATATCCTAAAAAGGAATAAATTAATGAGATATTCCAAGTGAATTTTAGCCCAATAAACTATCTGAAGAGTCTCCGACACGTTTTTGTAGCCATATATTGTAATAGATCATATAATACACTAATTTTAAAGTGTCCAAACTAATATTTAAAGTGTCCAAAACTAATATACAGCACTATTGCTAACCTGTCCTGTAAAAGTCTTTTGCACAATTGATCATTGGAGTGTTGAAAAAAGGGATTATAGTGTTGAAAATTTAGAAATAATAAAAAAAACATATCAACGCAACGACGACCCCGAAAAAGTGTTTAACTATTTTCATTACCTATTTGTTCCCTTTAAGATAAACATAAAAGGGCCGTTTATAAAAAACATAAATGGATTAGCAAAAGAATTAAGCTATGTTCTAAACGAAAACGCAGCTTACTTTTAAAATATAAGGCTACTAGGTGTGTCACTGACAGAATTAAATTTAAAACGTACATAATTAACTATTTTATTATTGTTATTAATATTCGACTAGCTCAACGGACGTTACTTAGAAAAAAAAACATGATAAACTTGTCAGTCTACGATTTACCTCTAAGGCTAGTCTTAATAAATAAATATATTCATGTCGACAAAACAGTAAAATTATTAAAAAACTTTTTACTACGAGTATTACATTTCGTCAAAAATAATAACTATAAAAATGACAAACTTCCATACAAGCGTTTGTCCCTCATTTAACCGCGTCAGGGGTATAATAAGGGATAAACGCTTAATACGCGAATAAATAAGGGATATACGCAAAATAAAGGATAAAATTTCCAAAAATCCTTTCTTAGTATCTGCTTACAACATAAAAAGCGTCAGCTGTCAAAATTCGAGTTTATGTCCCCAGCGGTTCAAGCTATGCGTTGATGAATTAGTCAGTCAGGGAAAGTAATTTTAAATGTATAGATATATTATTATGGATAACGCGTTTAAGTCCCACTATTCTAATACCTAGTAATAATTCAAAGGGAAAGTTGAAAATCATATGCCAACCTTATGATCTCATTTTAAAATTTTAGTTTTTTTTTTTCATTTGCTACTGCGCATCGAGATTACTTAGTCTCAATAAAAAATAAAAGACGAAAATGCCCGTTATATCCACGGGGCTCCAGGGTACAGCCTAACAAGCCCTTGTAGTTCTTTTGTATTGTTTAATGTACATTTGGATTTTTAGGATAATATATGCACACGTATACGAGGATTATAAACATATCGATTGTAAATTAGTATCAATGAAAATATAAACATAATCGTGTTCAAAATACATTAGTCTAAGTATTCCATCCACGGTGAATCGAATAAAAAAATAAAAAAACTTCAACTTATCGATATCTTTTTTGGCCAGTCTACATCTACAACACAGTTAAGTCAAGTCAGTGTCAGTCAGTTGTCTCTTAGCTCTTGTCGTTGTTCGTCACTAACTAAGTTGTTCGCTGATGTCGTTGTTTTGAGTGCGCGCGTTGGTTTGCCGCTTCAGTCAGTATAATATAAGTTCAATTCTCTTTGGTGTGTCGTGCGTGACCGTAACTTTTAGTGTGTGACTACTGACTTAGCATCGTGCTTATATTTTTTTTTTTGCTAAAGTGTTAATTAATAAGAAAACAAAATGACCTGGATGTACATTGTTTTAACTTGTATAATTCGTAAGTTTTTAATATAAAACTAAAATGTAATTTATTACAATGTCTTGATTTTAATTAGAATTTAATTCGTGTGGATCGATTGACGCTTTACATAGTCTTTAATCACTTGAATCTCATGAAATGCTTTATTTAAAAATTTGCTGTTTAGGTTTTCAAATTGAATCGAGATTTACTTCACTTGCTTTCGGGAGTTATTCAAGTTTATTGGAGGCGAGTCGGCGTTGATGAAATGTTGTTATTTTTCTTGTGTATTATTGATTACACACTGTTTTGTTATCTTAGTTTGTGGTTAAAGAAATCAACTCAATTTAAATTGAATTTATAGAATGCTTGCTAGGAATTATTAACTCCGACATACACAATGTAAGTGGAGTTTGTTATCAGTGTAATAAACCTGAACTCAAATTATATATAATACTATTATATTAAATTACATTAAATTATAATAATACAAATGTAAGTAAGTCTAAAACATTAAAACAAAAGTATGGCACAATTGAAATAATTAAAAAATTGTGGGTATTGATTGATGTTATCATTAAAAACTACATAGTTCAATGATTGCCTGGCCTGTTGGTCTAGTGGTTAGTGACCCTGACTGGTACGCCAGAGGTTGTGGGTTTGATTCCCACCCAGGACAAATAATTGTGTGATGAGCATGATCATTTGTTCTGTCTGGGTGTAATTTATTTATAATATGTATGTATTTAGAAATATTTGGTATATTAATTAGCAGTCTGGTTACGATAGCACAGGTTTTGAAGCAGACAACCTTGAATGAGATGTGTATATAAAAAAAAAATCAAAACAAATAATGCCAGTAAATCATTATAATCATTATGGATAATGACTAAAGTTTAAGACTTATTATTAGACTTGCAACGAATAGTATATTCGGCAGTATACCGAATACCGAATATTCGGCGAGGCCCCTGACCGAATAGCCAAATATTAGGCAAAAGTATTCGGCTGGATTTTAGCGCCAAAAACTTGTCCAGACGTGAATTAAATTATGTACCTGTTTTATGTACCAATTACTACTTAATAAATGATTATAAAAGAAATGAGAACCTTACTCTTCTAAATTTTGATTACCACAATAATTCAAATACATAGAAGCCTCCATTTTTCCAATTCAGAAGATGATTATGTACCTGTGTTATGCACCAATGACTACTTAAATGATTATAACAGAAATGAAAATATGAATATATACGTAATCAATCGATTTTAATTTTTCATTTTACCAATTATTTCTCAATGACAAAATATATTATTTAAGTATTCGGTATTCGGCCGAATAATATGTAGATATTCGGTATTCGGCCGAATATAATAAAAGCAGCCGAATAGGCCGAATACCGAATAGTAACCGAATATTCGTTGCAAGTCTACTTATTATCATAATGGGGTAGCAGTAATAAACCACATATTTACTTGATTCTACACCTTTGGAAGAATCAAAAGAGTATAGTCAGAACTGTCCTGTTTAACCAGTTTAACAAATATTTGTAGCTCCTAAATACTGCTTAGTATAAGTATTACAAATATTTGTAGCATGAATTCACTCATACAAATTGCAGGACAGATGGGAAAGATCACATCACAAACTAAGCAACAGCAGATCAATTTGACTTACTCTTTATATTGAGAAGAGCCAATAAACTACTACATATAGTTTGTTTTTAAAGACTACTCCTGCACTAGGAATAAATCCTGTGTCAAGAGGTTTTTATAAACATATATGAAATGGACACAAAGAACAGTCAGACTCAGAACAACAATTTGTGGATCACACAAAGTGTTGTCAAATGTGGGGATCAAACTCACAACACTTAGCGCAGTAGGAAGTGGTGAGGTGACCGCTTAAACCACTATGCCATTTGTGCAGTCAAGTCATACACAGGAGAAGAAATAATTTAGGTGATGATGGCCTCAAAAATATTTAATTATTTTTGCACACGGTAGAGGCACATAATATAGGTGAGCTCGACCAGAGTCAGACCACAGCCTCACAGAAATTTATGTAAAGCAATGTCTTTCCTTATTGTCCAACCGGTGGCCAAGGCTAAGGATTTAAAAAGAGTGGCTGTTTGTTTGATTGCACTTTGTTCTCATAAGGCACAACCCCTTTGAAACGGGTGGTTGTAGATCGAGATAGGCATAACTATAATAGATTTACGATAGGTATAATAATTATTTTGCTAAATATTTGACAAAACAGAGATTTTTGCCATTAGTGAGTGTTGATCTATGACTTCAGAGTCTACAATAAAGACGATTTCAAACAATTTTAAGCAATTTTATTAAATAGAGATATTTTGAGTTTGATCCAACACACCGCCGGCCCAGGGAGAGGCCATTGTGTCCTTTAGTAGCATGTGCCCCCATTGACGTCGTACTTATAACGATAGTTGTTCACCATCAGGTGACCGAACTGTTGGTTTACCCCTTATACGAAAAAAAATTTAAAACATTCATAAATAATATCTCCTTTGCAGATACGGTATTGGCGCAAAATGACGGCTTTACCCTGCCAGATTCAATATCATTGCCCCCTGAGCTACAGCAGAAATTAAATGATACAGAGATAGAACAAGTAAAGAATCAGTATATGGAGCAATTTAAACAAAAATGCGAAAAAAATGGTCATCCTGAAGCATATGAAAAAGCTCAGGTAAGTGTAGTTTGTCAACTTGTGGAATCTACACAAATAAATAAAATTGAAATTTCTATTTTTAATGTCAAACTAATAGGTTTTTTTCATGCTTACATGGTTATTTGCACGATACCTATGCCAAAATCCAGTTTAAATATTTTTTGTCTGTGTCTTTCTGTCTGTTTGTTCCGGGTAATCTTCAAAACGGTGGGACCGCTGTTGATAATATTTAACTATCAAGTTGCTGTCTATTTAAGGAGTAACTTAGGCAATTTTTTCTCAGAAAAGCCTAAATTTTTTTTGCCCGGTCCAGGAATCGAACCCACTAAGACATCGCTTTTCAAATACCATGCGAACGAAGTCGCGGGCACAGTATAAGTATATACTTATTTCAAAAAGGTCACCTAGGTGAACAGCAATGTGCTGAATTATTTTCAGGACATCTTTAACAAACTTAGAAAAAAAACACCTCCATGATTATACACAATGTGTAATTTTAAAACCAACTTTAAAGATTGAATGCTGTCAAGCCAGTATTTCATCCCGGGAGAGCCATGCTTAAGACAAATGAGCCAACTCCACTGGAGTGATACCTCGATCTCAGAGAACTGGTATTAAGCAATTCAACTGAGTGAGTGAGGTGACCAAAGCCGAAACCCCTCCTCCAAGAGGGAGTCAAACTCGCCCACCGAGGGTTCCGTACAAATTTGTACATCATAAAAATAATATAATTAAAAATCTGTTTAAGCTTATGCCAATGAAGCCCTTTCGTACCACATGACACGGTTAACTCAATTTAAAGTTTGGAGCGCCGTTCCTTGCATAAAGACCTTGTTTTTTTATGATTTAATTACAAATGTACAATTTTCAGATTTTTCCCTATACTTGTAGTATAAGACGAGATAGATACTTGCCAAATTTCATAGTTCTAGGTCAACAGAAAATACCCTATAAATTTTGATTCCTTTGAGAGTGTCGAAATATACATTTTTTGCGGCATAAACGGCCGTATCTTTTTTTTACGTTAACTTAAAAGTTTGATTTTTTCACATCTTCAAAAGACTAGACCTGAGTATATAGTTTTAATTTCAACTCGATACCTCCACGCGTTCCCGAGATAAAGGGTCTTGACAGACAGACAGAACGGACGGACAACAAAGTGATCCTATAAGGGTTCCGTTTTTTCCTTTTGAGATACGGAACCCTAAAAAAACGGCGTGAGGGGTCTAAGAACCTCCGGTCGGAACGAAGTTCCTTTCGCTTTTTGGTAGACGTTTCCAATACGAGTATATATGAAATATGAAAAAGATGTGAGCGTCGACGCGCGAACTGAAGTGTCGAAAAAAAGTCTTGTTACATTTTTTTCGGTCTCGCTCCCATCCGCTCAGATAATGCGCGATAAGGAACTTCGTTCCAAAAAAATTAAATTGGTTTTATTTTCTTCTGCTTGTATTAGATTTTTCTATTTCTATCTCTGTTATCAGTTTACCAGTATATTCCATACATATTATTATGTAGATTCATTGCATCATATTCATAGTCCGACTTGTAAAAATATCTGAAAAGATTTACTTACAGAAATAAATATCATTTATCATTTATCAATTATAATCACATTGCTTACATGGACGCGTTTCAATTTTTGATATAGTTGTCTAATATCTAAAATTTTAAACCATTCAGAAAAACGTAAGCCACCAACGCAACATGGCATTAATTAATGCTTTGTTATCTTTGTGGCCAACTTCTTTTTATCTTATATCGGTTTATAGTTAATGAATGATATACAATGAGTACCTATCTACATAATTTACAACTCTTAATGCACACATCATGTCGTAATATCAGTAAGTCCGTAAGTCCTAAACTTACGGATGCTTACTATTACCGGATAATGGCACTCACATACCGCCATCTTTAATTAAGCCATACAGCGGCCTTTAAATAGGCCATACGGCGGTCTTTAAGTAGACCATACGGGGATCTATACGTGGTATTACACGTGGAATAAGGATATAAACGCCATAGTTTATGGGAGAGCTCAGCCAGTGCAGATGCGTCTGCGCCTACACACCATCGCACGCAAAAACCTGCACAGATTGACCTCTTCGTAAACCGTAGCGTTTATGTCGTTATTGCACGTGTATGTTTATTATACGCCAATATTATATGTAAAATGTGTACTCAATTCAAACTATGCTTATAGAAAAATCTCTGCAGGTACCCTCTTTAGTAACTTACGCGCACATCAGTGAGCTTGTAGTCATGTATGTACTATTTACCTACTATGTTACTATGTTTATTTTTATTCGCATTATTTTGTTCAGAAAATCATATAAAAACCATAGTCATAATATATTTAGTATTTAAAAAAAAATACTAAACAAAGTAGCCCAAAAAATTATCACGTTTTCCTAATACGTAATACTTGATGTGCAAAATCTGAACGAAATAGTTTCTGTGGTTTAGCCACAGAACAACTTTTTGTTGATTCATAAATATAATTTACAACACCATATGTTTACGCAGTAGGAATGCTATATTTTCATAATTTCGTAGATTTCATGAATATTTTTATGTATGTGACAAATATAACTCAAAATAACATTAGAAGCACCTTAGATTTTAACCTACATTAGTTCTGTATTTAACTGACTAGTACCTAGTACATCCACAACCACTGTCACCTTAAAACGTGAATTCGACGGATTTCTTATTAAGATACCATGGATTCATGTCTTAAATAAAACATAAATTAAACAATAACATGAAAAAGTTAAAGAAAGTCAAATACATTCTACTAAATTCCTTATAAAACATCGCTTTAATTAACTGTTAATGTAATTCATATAGTAGTTAAATGTAACAAATGTTCAAAACAATGTCAACATGTTAATGTTAACATAATGGTTTACGTCATGGAACAGTTTTATTAAAAGTCTAATAAAATATATTTTGAAAACTCGTATAGAAATGTATTTGCATATAGATATGAACTAGTGAGTTATTAGTACTATTGTACCAAACTACGCAGGACAACAGCACTGCAAAGAGAAGGAAAACTTGACAACCCGTCTGGCCAGCGTGGTGTAGTAGGCCAAAACCTCCTTTCTAAGGAGAGGCCTATATCCAGCAGTGGACTAGTAAAGGCTATTGTGTTAATAATGATTGTACTTACTTGTACGTATTGAAAGAACAACAAACAAAATGAACGACTACACGTATAAGCCACCGGTGCTGCTGTGGCTTCTCAAACTATTTGCTTTGATAAATTTCGTAGGAAGAATTCAGGGTCATCCTTGTTTTGTATCCTGAAGACATTATTCCTCCATTCAATTATTATTAAGAGAACTTGTTGCCCAATCGAGTAAAAACAAGGCCTATCCTAGCATCTGTGTGATTTCACAAGTAACTACTAGAAAGGTTAAACAACATATAAGGACTATAAGACATATAACCTACATATATTATAACATGTTTAAGTTCTAAGCGGATAGAATAAAACGCGATCGCTCCTCATATTTCCAGTTTGTAGCATTTCATTATTCAAATTTACACTTGCGAACATTGACAACAACACATTAACATAAAACCGCCAGCTTCGGTAATATACAATGACGCATTTCATTATATATAGTTACTTTAATTTTTATACATACTTTGTAGTTATTAATTAGTGGCAGTAGTAGTAATTAAATAGTGGCACTTCCTCTTCAAAGGTAATATATTTTTTCACTAATGGGTCAAATCTTATTAATAGGTCTATTATTAAGATTTATGCTTATAATATTAAAATTACTCATAGTAATATTGTTTTAATAGCTGTATTTAATCGGTTTCAAATGACCTTTTCGGTTGGACGTTAAGGTGGCATATGACTCCAAAGTGCGAAGACTGCTACCGAAACAAATAAGAATATCTACATATCATTACTTATTTTATAGTTAGCAAACGACGGGATCACCTACTATAATAAGTTACTACCGAAGTCTTTTGAGTGTCCCTTCCTTCCCCAAAACTAGTGGTTGGGGGGAGGGCGTTAGCTTGACCTCGGGTAACCTCAATGAGGGTATTTTATACAACCGGTTTCTACAAGGCCGTATCACTCCGGTGCCTTAAGGATGACTCTCCCGCGGTCTTTTGTGGATAAGTACATGATCCTCAAAGGTATCCTTTTCCTTATGGTAATCAGTCGTGGCCCCAATCGTTCATAACGACCGTGAAGTTTTTAAATCTATACTTATATATTTTTAATGCTTTCCTTCTTATGTTGTAGGGAAGACTTAAAAGGGTTAATAGAGAGGTGAAAAAGTATTGAGTGAGATTAAATAAACGTTGGAAGTTCCTACACTATTTCTGTGATAAGATTATCAGACAATATTATTATTATTATTATTTTCTGATGCTTTACTCAATAAAACGTTAAAGGTCCCTTCAATGAAGACAAGTCGACTGGTCTGTTAATCTAAATAGTTTCTAGATGGGGTCTGTAAAACAATTCGAATAGTGTCTGATACAAAGTTTTATAGAAACTGGTCACTGGACTATTCAAATTTCAGGCCCTCCAAACTTGGCAGAATGCCCGGCGTGGGTGCAGCAGAGGCGTGACCTCGTGGTGGCCATCGGGGTGGGAGTCCTTACGCTCGGTAGTATGATAGCCGCCATGGTACGGAGAGAGAGTGCGTGGGACTCCGCTATCTTCGAGCAAATTATGCTTGCGAAGGAGATGGCGGAGCGGGACCGGGAGAGGTTTAAAAATCTCCCTTCCCGCCAGGCCCGGGAACGGACCAGGTACCGCAAACGTCTCGGGCGCCGGAGGTCGCAGAACGACCTCCGTCCTAAATAAACGCAGACCTGGGGTGACAGGTGAGGCCATCTGTCACCCTAGCAGAAGCAGGCCGGAGTGGCAGCGAAACGCGTTGCCGAGCGCGCACGCCCTTTTGTGATCACAAACGGAACATGGGGGTTCCCACACAGGAGGGGGTCATCTACACGCCGTGGATGGCCCGAGGTACGTC